AAGAAAAAAAGACAAAGATTAAAGTAGAAGTTATTACAAACATTTTTAAATCTATACAATTATCTATCATAATAAGCTATGTAGATAAGATCATATTCTTATTATTCGTTTCCTTTTCCTATCTCATACGTCATTATATTCTTTGCTAATCCCCAGTTTACCGACCTACATCCGATAATATATACATCTCGACATTTTTATTGTTTCCCTTGTTTTGGTTTAATAATATCTGTTTTCTTCTGCTTTTGATGTTTCTATTGTAACGTGAGTAGAAAAAGAGAAAACCTCAAGCATCATATAAAACATACAAGATAAATATATTAAATAGCGAAACAACTATTTAATTTATGATTTCAAAATAAAATATATTCAAACATGCACACTTATAGATATATAATAGTATCTAGTCTAACGAATCTTTACTCCAAATAAAACAAAACAAAGGCTTGTTATATCTTTCATCATTTCCTTTCTCAATCAAAAGCGGATATAATTAATAGAAGATACATTTTAATTATATATTGATACACGTTTATTTAAAAAGAAAAGAAAAATCTATTTATGATAATCACAATGTGATAATAAAAACGAAACCACTAAAATCTTGAATCGTTATAATCAAAACAAAAGAAAACTTCTTTTTTTTTTTCCTTTAGTATTATTGTCGTTCGTCTTTATAATTTAGCTTGATCTTTGAATAATGTAGATAATTTTTGTGCTAACATCACATTGCCTTTTACTTTCAATTTACCTTTGGCAAAAAGCTATAAAATAAAAAGAATACATTTGTATATAATAGATTTTAAATGTTAATACATACGGCAGGTGCGTTAGCTTTGCCTGAAGCCAATTCTACAAAATCATTATCATCGACTGTAATTGTAACTTGTGCTGTTGTTCCTTCCACGGGTTTACCTTCATAAATACTACCTTTTTTTCCATCAATAGCTAAAAAACAGCATAAAATAAAATAAATAAATGAATATGTGAAATATTAATTTATTTGTATGTATGCGTATTCTTGTCACTTACTCCAACTTTGTTGAACATTTCCATCTTTTGTTATATCAAATACAATGATCGCACCAACTTTTTTTACAAGGTCTGGTTGACTTTTAGCACGTTTATTTATTTCATCAAAAGCTATTTTAGCTTTTAATCCTACACTTGATGATGGTGTTGTTTTTGTTGTAGTCGTTGAATTTTCCTTAAATTTTGTTTTAAATAATGAAAAAGAATTAAAAAATTCATTTTTTATACGTTGTACCTCTTTAGTCATTTTGATATATGAAAAGAAAACAAATAAAAGATTTGCTAGTTTCAAAGATATTTAATCACATGCATTATCTCAAAAAAAAATTTTTGCTGTTCTTTATTTACTCTGAGAGATATAATATGTAAGAGATGACGGTTGAGATTTAAGTTCTTTTTTTTTTTTTTGTTACTTACTTGAGCAGTGCCTGGTGTGTTTGTATTAAGAACTACATTATGTAAATCAACATAACCGCCAGTTAATACTGTTTGATTTGATTCTGGTACCTATTCAGAATTTAAAGAAAAAAAGAAATAATTAAGAATGAATTTTGAAATAATAAACCTTTGATTCAAAAAAGATTCGATTTCCTTCACGCCACATATGTGTTTCGATAGTTTGACCAGGTTCAACAGGTTTCGTGAAACGCACCTATAAATAATTTTTTTCTTTCTTGTTATAGCAATTCATAAGTTTTCCTCTACTTTAATAGCTTTAAATAGTGCTGGGTTATCGTTAGCATATGTATGCAAAACATGTCGAGCAGCATAACCGAATGAACATAAGCCATGTAAAATAGGTCGTGAAAAACCTTGGCAACAAAAGAAAAAGAACAAGAGTTAATTTTCTTTTTCACAAACAAATAGTAGTTTTAAAAATACCAGCTGCTAATGCAAATGATGGATCAATATGTAATGGATTTGAATCACCATTTAAACGATAAAGTGCTGCTTGATCAATATTTGTTGTTTCACGACATACTTGGTCAGGTTTTCGTTGTGGTGCTGGAAGAGATTTTCGTTGATTTTCACTATTTTTTTTACCACCAAAACCACCTGAACCAACAGAAAAAATAACGAATTGATTAAGAGCAATTAATTTTTCTTTTTCATCAAACATTTCCACTAGAAAATATATCATAAATAAAGAATTAATAGAATATAAATTCTTTCCTACCATCATAGACTAGTACAGCACCAGACCCTTTATCAAGGACATCAACAACTTTTCCTTTTAATGTCACAGTACCCGATGTTGGTAAGGGTTCAAATAATTCAACATATTGTTCACCATGAAGAACCTATGATAAAAAAAAAGCCAGAACGACTTGTTTTTTATTATTTATTTAAATAAAAATTTACTCGTAACAAATCAATATCAAAACCAAGTTTTCCTGAACTAATTAAGTTCATTGATAATGATTGAGCTGGTATAACAGCAAATGTTGGTAAAGCACAAAATTCTTCATGATTTTCATAAAGAAAACGTAATGAATTCGGTTGACGTAAGGAACAACCAACAGAAAGTGCATATAAAATAATTTGATTCGCTGTATACGAAAATGTTTGAGTAACAACTTTATCATCATCATTATTAGTCAATTTTCTTATAGTATCCAACAAATGTGTTACTTGTTCAGCTTGTGTTAAATGACGTAATGGTGTTGCAAAACTAATGATATCTTTCCAATTATCTCGTACATCTTCAACTGTCATCGGTTTATTTGGACGACGTACCATTGCACCAGAAGATTTTTCTAAACGAACTTTACCTATCCATCCACCAGCTACTTCAAATAAGGAACCTGTATCAGTACAAGATTCATGACATAAATAAAGAACAAGTGGCATAACAAAAGCTGGTTTTAAATTTTCTTCAGCATCCGGTGGTAGAAGATCTTGTGTTAAACGTGAGTATGCTGTTGGTGCAATAGCATGACATGTTATATTATATTTTGCTCCTTCAAGTGCAAGTGTATTTGATAAACCAACTAAACCCATTTTAGCAGCACTATAGTTTGCCTACAATTAAAAAGCTTTTGCTTTTTTCATTGTCATAAAACTACGTTAAATAAGTCGAACTTCATTTGGATACAAAGTACCTTCTAGTGATGCTTGGGTACAGAAATAGATGAAAAATATTAAGTTTGAGTTATCTAGAGCAGCAGTTAGTTCTTTTGACGAGAAAGCTCTTACAAATGATAACCTCTACTTTGTTGATTGTTAGAGTTCATTGTGCAGATAAAATTCCTAAACGGATTTGTACAACTAGTACTTTCTTCTTACGTTATAATCAATTTAATGAATATGCAACCTATTGCAGGATGTTACAAGGACACTCACTCAAAAGTTTTTAGTCTGAAATTTTACTCAAGAGATAGATCTCATGACACTTATAATATCCTGACTGTTTCAGTAAAAACGAGTGTTTCTTTTTCTCAAGATAGGTTGTATTGGAAAAGCTGGATTTCTTGAAATCTCACTCAAGAAACCAGCTGTTTTGTAACTTAGTTATATTGAGACCGCAGCATTCGTTTTAGTCAAGACTTTCAAGATGTTATAAGGATTATGAAATCTATTCCTCTAGTGAAATTTTAGACTGAAATTCCATGAATAAATTTTTCCAATAAAATCCTGCAGTAGACTGAAAAATTTTCAAAAATACTATAATTTGAGACGAAATAGTTAGTGGCGCAAATTTGTATAGGATTTTCATATGTACAACGGACTCTAAGAATGAGCAAAATAGAAGTTATCATTTAGAAGGGTTCTCTCGTAACTTAATCTAGAATGATTATGTCTTTTTTTTAATGATCCTAAAACTGGATATGGGCCAAGTGGTCCCAGTTTCGAACGAGAACCAACATATTTTCATTGAGAACGATAATTTTTATAACTGTGTAAACCTTGTGTTACATGTCATAGTGTCAGCACTTATATGTTCTAAGTAGACATGAGTAAGATGGTCCCGCTCATGTCTAACTGATATATTGACCATCACACAAATCGAAGACGATGATATTGGTTTATATATAATTGACTTAATGATGTATGTCACATCAAAGATGGGATTTATTCGATTCGCAGTATCTCTTATCGAGTTCGGTTTAACTTTTGAAAAATCTGAATCTATCTCATCTCTCCTTTACACATATAAACTTATTAATGAAAGTTTTAGATCATTATAGCCCTCTCCTATTAGATGGAGCATTTTTTTGTTGATTATCAAAGCATATGTGTAATAGAGATTTTGCTTTTGTAAAGAAATAGAAATCGAACCTGTCCAAAGTTGCCATAAAGACCGGATGTTGATGTAGTAAATATAACTCTTCCATATTTTTGTTGTCTCATATGAGGCCAAGCTGCGTGAGTTAATAAATAAGCTGCTCGTAAATGAACACGATGTACAAGATCCCAATCTTGTTCTGTCATATTCATAAAACTTTTATCACGTAAAATACCTGCATTATTTACCTAAAATAATTAAATATATCTATTAATTTGAATCGAAATTCTTTTATTTTCATTTACAAGAATATCAATACGACCAAAATTTTTAATGGCTGTTTCTATAATAGCTTTTCCATCTTCAACGGAATGATAATCAGCTACAGCTTTTCCACCATGTGATTGAATAAGTTTAACAACTTCATCAGCTGGTCGAGATGAATGACTACCATCACCTGATGGACTTCCACCTAGATCATTAACAACAACACTTGCACCACGTTCACCAAATGCAAGTGCATATTCCTAAAAGATATAAAATCTATTGCGTTTTGTTTTATAAATTTGTTTTTTAAATACTTTTCCTAAACCATTACCAGCACCAGTAACAACAACAACACGACCCAAAAAACGAAGCATATCTAAAAGAGTACAAAAAACTAGCGGGTATATATTTTTGCTTTTAGCAATCGTTAAAAATAAATTTATTTTACAAAATAAACACAAATTATAATACAAATTTAAAGTGTTTCATTTGATGCAAAGGACCAATCCCATGGTATTGATATAGTACCATTTTGTGCTAGATTATAATTTTTATCAATTTTAAGACGACATTTTGTCAAAATATTTAAAAAATGTTGCCGCTCATCGAGTAAGCGTTGACAGCATTGATTAATATCACGTTTTTTTAAACGTCGATTGATTAGTATATCAGTTAAATTAAATTGTTTTTGTATTATTTCAAGTAAATTACGCTCTTTAACAACATCTTTTTCATATAAATTTCGTGTTTTTTCGGCTTGTTTTCTATTATCAATCATAAATTCTAATATATCCATAGTTGCATCAAATGCATTTATTTGAAAAAATCCACTATTAGTTAATGATGGTTCTGAACTATATGGATTGATAAATAAATAAAAATTTGCCCATGATATTTTTTTATGTGCTTCATGATGACGATTTAAATTAAGATGTGAACTTAATTGTATAAGATGATATAAATATGTATGTGCACGACATAAAGATTCTGAATCAGGATCTTGTCGAATTGTAATACCACGAAAATATTGACTTAAATTATTTTCATATGAAGCTATTTTTTCCATATATTTATTTGAATCAAGTAATTCACAACAAATAACATGATCCCAATAAATAGGTGGATCATTAGCACTTAATTCAAGTGAACCATCTTGAAGTAAACATGATTTATTTCCAAATATAAGTCGTTTACCTATATTTAAGAATAATAAAAAAAAAAAAACTTATTATGATTATAGGTCAAGATTACTTTTCGTGTCGAGAAGAATACAAAAAAAAATTCTTCTTAGTCAGACCGAACTCATAAGAAAAAGATAAAAGATAAGCTAAATAAGTAATAAAAAAGAAATTTCAACTTTAAAATACTTTCTAAACTCTAAAGTGCTAGATATGTTTTGCTTGTTCTTGATGATAATGAAACACTGGAAGAATATTTAAATTATTAAAAAATTTATACTTCAATAAATTTACCCAAACTTTAACTCTGAATTATCTATATCGATTAAATTGAAATATATATCTCTTGCTTCAAATTTTCTTTTGATTAGATCTTGAGATTGTCCCAATGCTCATAGTAAGTGTATATGACTGTTCAAGTAACAGAATAAAACGAGCTTTGTAACAAGCTAGTCTTGTTTTCAAAACTATAATGTGGTAAAAGACCATTATTGGAGAAAAAAACTACTGAGCATTTGAAATTCTTTCTAGCAACATGTTAAACCGATCAATGGTAACTGAATATTAGTTTCTTCTCAATTATGTTTTTTTGCTAAAACTACGAATATCAAGCCTAAATAATTTCATCATTATATATCTATGAAAAATATATCGTTATAGTTATATTTGAAAAATACCTTGTAAAGTCAAAAGTTTTTCATGCCATTTATCAGCATACATAAGTAATGTTCTTAAACAAGTAGAAAATTGTGGTACAGACCAATCATCACTATATTCAATTGATTTAAGTTTAAAACGTTCTGTAATACTATTAACTTTATCATTGATTTCATTCAATAATTCTTGATGTCGTTTAGCTATGACACGTGCTGCTTCAATATTATTTGTTAACCATGTTCTAAAAGGGAAAAAAATAATAATCCCATCAGAAAAGAAAAGAAGAACTTAAAATTTTTTATTATTACTTAATTGATATTTTAGGAATTTTTGTAAAATCATAAAATTTTTCAATTTCAATTATTTTAAATTGAATTTCATGTCGACCAACGTTTTTCTGTTCTTTTGGTCTATCAACAATAGGTAAATTCAATGCAGTTAATAAACTATTTACACTAGTTAAAAGATCATTTGAATTAAGTGTAACTCGATGAGAATTGAATGAAACTGGTGCTGCTAAAATTGAAACAATAACAAAACAAGAAAATCAAAATGAAAAGTAATAAATAAATTTTCTAGAACAAGTTAACCCACGAGAAGGTAAATTTGACAATGATTTTGTAAAGAATTTAACACTGATTGATGCCATATATTCTTTACGTTGTAATCCAGAAAGATAGGCACTAACCAATTGTAAACTTTTTTCATTAACATCCTTTAATGAAAAAAAGAAAAGAAAAGAAATAAAATTCTCTTAGAACAATTTTTATTTTTCTCATATTGAATTACTTTCTCTTTTGGATATTGAGAAAATAAATCAGGATGAACTTTTAAATAAAATTGCTTTAATGCTGCTGAAATTGTTTCACACCGATCTGTTGATAAAGAACAACGATATAATAAATATTTATTTGTACTATTAACAAAACGAACTATTAGATTATAAGATCTTGTCAATATCATCTGGAATTAGATGTTCGATGAACAATATAGATATATATATATAAATATATGTATTACACTTGACACAATTTAATTAAAAAAAGAAAAAAGAAAAAAAAGAAGAAAAAATTAAAACATGGTCATAAGATTTTCAGTCTCTTTATGTTTTTCTTCCATTAACTTCCAGTCGGCTCCATTTTGATACTCGTCAAAAATACGTAACTAAGAAAGGAAAAATATTTTCTGTCAATTCATTAATTAATAAAATCGACTTACTTTATCTCGAAGTTGTTGCAATTGTAAAAGTATGTATGATAATTGATTTACTAAATCAGCAAGTGCCGGTACATTAGCTTCAATCTAAATAATGAAAAATCAAAAACATAATATTTTTTATTTAAATTATTATCGATTCTTCCTTATTGTCTTTTTTCTTTGGTACGTACAAAATGTTTAAAATAACCACTTGATTTTCCTTGAACACTTGTATGATAAACAGCAAATGATAATTTTGAACCTTGTACATAATAACTAAATGCCATATTTTCTGGTATTGGTGGTTGAAAAATTGTCTATAAACAAACATAGAAGATTTTTAATTTAATTCAATAAAAAAAAACTTTTCTGGTCATTTTTCTTACTGTATTTTTATTTCGTCTTAAATCATCAATACGTTTTTTCTTTGGTAATAAAATATTATCTCTCGCATTATTAATACAATCAATAATTAAATCAAGATATTGTATAGCTTTATATAATTGTTCAATATTACGATCGAAATCTGTTAATACAACACAACGTAATGCACGTTCAAGATGTTGTGTACATTCATGTAACTAAATGAAAATAGTCTTTACTTCTGAATTATTACGAAGAAAAAATTATTTTTTTTTCTTACTTGTTGAAGTGACCAATATTTCATTTGTTGTGTTGCTATTGTTGTTCGGAATGCATTATTCATTGGTGGTTGAACTTTTGTTCCAGCTTTATAAACTACATCCTAGAATATTAATTATAATACTATTTCAAAAAAACAAATATTTCTTCTATTTACAGCTGTTGTTATATCCGATCCCAGTAAAGTTACAGTACATTTTAAAATTTCACTGTTTCTAAAAAAAAACAAAAAAAAATTCAGTTGAGATTTAATTTAATAAATTTTAATCATACTGTGGATGAGTTAATGATAGTACGATTGGTTTAGCAGTAGAATCAGATGATGTTATGTCTGTTGCTAAAAGAGAACAAATGAGAAGAAAAATTAAAGATTTACACCCCTCGGCAAAAGTCTTTCTCCTTCTCTCATTCATTTTATATTGAAACTCTTTGATCTCAAGTGAGTGTTAGGTTTAAAGGATGATTTATATGCTGTAGTTTAGTGTAGTGTATGATTGATTACAGTTTGCATCAATGAAGAATGTATGATATTCAATACGATCGACTAACACTACAAATGAATTAATTGATAAAATAATTTCATGGCGGAGTTATCTCTTTTTTTTAATATTTTTTGCATGGCTTATTAGTTTTGCACTATCTGTCTTTGAATAATTGACTATACCGCATTTTCGAAAGAGTTTTGAGTCGACGAAGAAGAAAGTTGAATGATTTTAACCAGTGAAACAGTTAGCAGATACAAAAAAACAAAGAAATAGCCCAGTCGTACAACATTCTGTCAATCAACTCATTTGTAGTGTTACTCAATTATATTGAAAGACGTATATTCTTCATAGCGGCAACTTGTCAGTAATCATACATTATACTATAATAGAGCACTTAAGTCATACTTATAACTAATATTCACTTGAGACCAAAGTGGTTCTTTACGAAAAAATTGATGGGAAGAAGAGAAAAGACTCTTATCCAGAAGTGTCAAATAAAACAGCCAAAAGCTTACATTCATCTGGACGCTTTAATGAACGAATTAAAGTCTGTAAAAGAAAAATAGAATAAAAAAATCATAAAATATTAATAGAACACTTAAGATACTTTAAGAATATCAGTTATTTCTGTTAGAACACGATCGAAATCATTTGTCATTAAATCATTTAATTCGCGACGCTAAAAAATAAATGAAAATAAAATTTTATTAAAGATAATTTGAGTTTTTCGATTATCATAATACTAAATTTCAATAACATTGTCTAATAAGAAAACTTTTTCTTATTCATATTAAAAGTAAAATGAGTAAATTTCAATTGTTACATTTTGAATTCTTTGCATTGAAAAAAGTCATATTCTATTCTCATTTTAATTTCAATTTTAACAAGAAAAAACGACCATAGACATATTTCAAACTGCTCAATTCTTATTTTATGGATATAAAATTACGTCCCTGTGCCTCAAAAACTAAAAATTAATTTTCGTGAAAAAACAATGAAAATTGAGATCAATACATGGGAAGATAGCCGAAAGTCTAATCTTTCATGACTTTTATACGGCATCTCTTTTTTTTTTCCAAAAAATAGCTGTCATTTTCTGCTTCAAAAAATACGGTCTTCTCAGATAAAACGGAAATTTTTTTTTCGCTTTTTTAATCGAGCATTCCTATATCCTCCAAGGAACTTCATCATAGTCGATGACTTTTTCTTTTGTTTGAAAGACTATGTCAAGATGTAAAGTATGACAGAGCCCGTGCTGTAAATTGTTTTGTGTTACTATTATATAAGAGAGTACTTCTATAATTAAAGCGCCAATTTTCGAGACATTGAACGTTTCTTCACTTAAGAAATAAGAATATTAAAAAAAAAAGACCTCTATCATTCCTTACATCCTGACATGCTCTTTCAAACGAACAAAACCTAAGTCTTGAGAATGAGGACCATGAGAGATTTTCGGTTTGCAAAATGAGCTATGCTTGAATCTTGCTTGTTTAATATCTTGTAAAAACGTCATTTTACAGAGGTGCAGACGTAATCATAGTTTCTCCATTACATCCTTAATATATCCTGAAAATTTCGTACAATTTCAATGAACTTAAACCAAGATTTAGTTTTAAAGCAAATATATTGTTATTATGACTATGGTCAAACACATGTATGTATATAAAGAAAAATACCTACCAAAACATTACATTCCTCAATTAGTTCAGCTTGTTGTTCGTCTTCCATAATAATATAGTTCTATTTTTATCTAAAGAAAATTAAGTAAAGTTTTTTTATATTTCAATGTTAATATAGTTCTTTTTTTTGTATTTTATACGAAAGTAATAAATGTATGAAACAGATGATGAGCTACGGCGTTTTTTGTTTATTTCAGAGATAATAACCAGAACTGGTCCGAGGAAGCAAATATTGAGGGGATATCGCGTCTTTTTTTTTAGGAAGGTGCACATATTTTTTCCTCAGAAAACGTAAGAAAATTTTTCGTCTCTACTGGGAAATAAAATTTTTCATGATTGGAACGAGTTGCATACAGCTCTCGGTCGGATTAACCTTGACAACAGCTAAATAACTACTAAATATTTCTATTATTATCTTCTATTCATTAAAGAATAAATAGTATATGAGAATACTACACATTATAGATGTGTATTCAACTCACAGGCTTTGTCGTAATGAATTAAATCTATGCAGGATGTCTCAAAAAGTCCCTCATGACAAAAAAAAAGAACGCAAATACTTATCCAAAGATTCAAACGAGGATTTTATTTCATATAATGTTGACTAGAACAAAGATTTAAAATGATTACTATAGCTTGAAATATATAAGTCTATTGCTTACGAAATTTTTGAAAAAAACACTACAGAAAGTTTATTTTTGAATTCAACTGGATCTTTATTTGTGTCATATACATATAATATGTCACTTTATATTTATGGATAAACCACTTAAATAAGAATGGTTTCGTTTGTAAAAACAGAATTTCTTTGATTGTTGAAATTCTCTAACATTGGTGTTAAAGTCATCTATCCTCAAGTCGATCGTTTGAATCTCCTTTGTAAATTTTTAGGATAAACTATAATTTCTATGTCTTCATTAGAAGATTCTTAGTCGTAATCCGGTGTGCCTATTCCTTCGACATTGAAGTAGGCGGTTGTGTCAATTTCCAAAACACTTAATTAGCGATTTTTTCCATAAACATTATGATCGGCATTGGTTTTTTTTCTTCTGTAAATTTTGAAAATAATTAAAACCATTGTCGACCTACTAATATAATAATTTCTGAGAAGCATTAAAAAGTATCTCTTTTATTGCTTACGCCTTGCAACTATGTGTCAAACTTGCTTTAAATTTTGCGTTTCACAATTATACATGAGTCAAATTTTAACATGAATAAAATTATTTAAATTTTAATATATGGAGTCACGGACGTTTATCAGAATATTATTTTACGAAAAATTATAGAAATCTCTTTAGCTGATTAGAACGCCAAGCTTTTAGGACACCCTATGTCTATGTTCATAATAACTTTTACATAAACGATCATAAAACATATATATATATTCATTGAATGTAATCTGTTACATATTATTCAAATATATTGAAAGTTTCCAATCATGATAATCTAATTAAATAAATACATGCTTGATTCATGATAGTATCACGAAAACAAAATTTAATAAAATCTATTCCCTATGAATAAGAAGACATTTTAACAAAAGAAATATTCAAGATAATAAAAATTTTACCGAAAGGTTTGAATAAATTGATTCATGCTGATTTATGAGTTTAATATTTCATCGATTGTTTGATTGTGTTTATCAAGTAACTGTGTAAAAATTAAATTGTTTTTTTTTGTTCATAGTGAGAATTCACAACAATCTGCTATGTTCGACGGCGATATTGATTTTATTTATTCTCTTATGCGCAAACATGCTCAGTATTAGATGTTAAACAACATGTTGTTATAAATAAAAAAATTATTTGAATCGTTTGAATAAGGATATTTCTATTGATTCAATTTCTATTAAAGACAAAAGACAATATTTGTCTATGTAAAATAATTGGTGTCACAAAAATGAATACTACTAAAATGAAAAATCAAATATATACTGAAGGGTTCAGCGACAAACACAAGGTTTGGATTGCCGAGAAAATTTAATTTTTCTATATCTTAACTACGATGTAACAAAAAAAAAATATATATCTGCTAAAATAATTATTAAATCTAGCTAAAAAATGCCCTAATCAATATTTATTTATACTCTTACGCATTAGTAAATTATTAATTCAATGTTATCTTTTATGAAAATTACCCTCTAAAAAAAGAAAAAAAAAACTGTAGAACCAAACTTTTTTTTTATCATTATTATGTTGTCAACATCGAAACATCTACTTGTTTTCTTCTAATCTGTATGGTTGATCTATATAACCAATAAACTATTTACCAGCTAAAATCTTCAGCTAAATAAATCTATATCATCATCGAAGAACGAACAAACGAACAAACGAAGGTGTGCTTGGCTTTGTATATTTATTTCTCTGTCTCTCTCTCACACTCACTCAATGCACACATCCAAAATCCTGTATAACGACGAGTAAAAGATAAGCGGTCGTGTGTCTATGCGGAACAACATTTGTAGTTTATATTTTAACAAATAATAAAATAAATAAATAAACGTACGTAAAAAGAAAAAAAACCATAAATATAAAGTTAATATAAGCATTTATGTATATATATATATAGACTTTCGATGATTGTCGCTTCACATCTAACTCAACAACAGGTAAATTCATATCACAAGGAGAAAAAAAACAACAACAACAATAAAATTTTAATAAATTATTTTTTTTTGATTAGGCCAAAGTTGATCCTGAAGAAATATTCGAACGACATGATCATATCGGTCGTGGATCATTTGGAGTAAATTTTATTCTATTTCATTTATTTATTTATTTGTTTATTTTCTAGGAAGTTTATAAAGGTATAAATAAAAAATCATCTAATGTTGTTGCAATAAAAATAATCGATTTGGAAAAAGCTGAAGATGAAATTGAAGATATTCAACAAGAAATTCAAGTACTTTCTCAGTGTAATTCACCATATATAACAAAATATTTTGGTTCTTATTTAAAAGTAAAAATAAGAATTTTTTTCGTTTCTTTTTAAATAAATTCTTTTGTCTATAATAATTTTAAAAAAAAAAAGGGAACTAAATTATGGATTGTTATGGAATATCTCGGTGGTGGTTCAGCACTTGACTTAATGAAACCAGGTCCATTCGATGAACAGTATATAGCTATAATTTTACGTGAAGTCCTTAAAGGTCTTGAATATTTACATTCGGAAAAAAAAATTCATCGTGATATAAAAGCTGCAAATGTTCTTCTATCAGAAAATGGTGATGTTAAATTAGCTGATTTTGGTGTTGCTAAACAATTAACAGATTCAATTAATAAAGGAAATACATTTGTTGGTACACCATTTTGGATGTCACCAGAAGTTATTATGCAACATAAATATGATTATTCAGTAAGAAATACTAAGGAAGTTTTGTTTTTCTTTTGAGAAATTATGTTTTTGGTGTTTCTAGGCAGATATTTGGTCACTTGGTATAACAGCTATTGAATTAGCAAAAGGTGAACCACCATATTCTGATTTACATCCAATGAGAGTTTTATTACAAATTCCAAAAAATCCACCACCACAATTAGTTGGAAATTATTCGAAATTTTTTCGAGAATTTGTTGAAGCTTGTTTACAAAAAAATCCTGAACATGTATGTAGAACAAATTAAAGAATATATTTCTATTGTTTTGTGTTTTTAATACATTAGAGACCAACAGCTCAACAATTACGTCGATTAAAATTTGTATCATTAAATAAATCAACGAGATTTTTAGTTGAATTAATTGAACGTTATAGACGATGGAAAGAAAGTCATAAAAATGGTGCAGGTTCAGATAGTGGATCAAGTTCAGAAGAAGACGCGTAAAGATCATTAGAAAGTTTATCAAGACTAATTAAAGAAATATACATTTTATTTAGACCAAAGGATAAAACGTTTCGCTGGAAATTTGATGGTGATGATACAGTTAGATTATCATCAGCAAATGGAATTTATTCGGTAAAATAGTTTTGTTTGTTTTTCTCAGAAAATTCTCATTAATGCCAATTAAAAAAAAAACTGGTGGATTAGAATTTTTTGTATTTTGATAACAACAAAATAGAAAGCTAAAATTTTCACCTTTCGAAAGAGGAGAGGAAGATGCACCGTTTGAGGTTTTTATACGTAGTTATTCATAAAACATAGGTATTCTAGTCGAAATTCTCAGTCGATTCTTCAAGCAGTTGCTGTGAAAGAAACCTAATATTTGCTGTTTTCTTATATTAACGAGCATCATTTTTTGAACTTTTTTTCTTTAATAAATTTGATCAAATAGAACTTTTTAAAAGAAACCTATGATATACGATTCGATATGACTTCATCTTCTCTTTCTAATGGTAAAAAACCACAGTGCTTTGTGTTGTTTCTATCTGAAGTTATTCAAAGTAGAATCCACCCTGCCTTTCTTCTCAATGAACATTAGTTACGAGAAATAGATTATAATTAAACTAAATATATGTTGAATTCATAATTTTATTTATGAACGAAATTTTTGACTTGAGTGATTGATACTATGTACAGCATAGATAAAGATTAATCATTTAGCTAGTGTTGTGGTGGCGTAATCAAGGACGAATTATGCTGAGCGCTGCTCGCGCACTAGAAAAAAGAAAAATGTAATAATTACCATTATTGACATTACATTGCATAGATTTTTCTCCAAGTTTGTAGAACATTCCTCTACTATCCCACGAGCTCATAGTTACGTCGCTGCCGTGATCGGTCATATTTGACTTATGCATAGAAATTATCCATTTAGAGAAACATAGCATTGAGTTAAAACAGTTGCAAAATATTATGTTGGATCTTTTAAAAATATAATTTTTTTTTGTATCCTTTATTTACTTATACCGACTGATTATTCTGATGTTGACGATGTAGATGTTTATATTATTACGAACATAATTTATTTTTATGGTAGTTTTTAAAAATTTCTTGATTATAGATATGAAAAGAGCAGTTTTCATGATAATTTAAGTCGTTTTGGACCTATTTGGAATGAGTAACATACAAAAATGACTTTTTTTCTAGAATCATTTTATTTTCGATATGAACTTATC